TAGACAATCTTTTTCTTCTATTTCCTCTTCCATGTATTGAGTTAGCCGGGCACCAGGGCAGCTCAAGGGGCTGAGGCAGGAAGATGGAAACTTCAGGCCAAGCCTGGGCAATTTAATAAGACCCTGTCTGAAAATTAAAAATGAGAAGGGCTGGGATGCAGCTCAGTTGTAGAATGCCCCTGGGTTCAATCTCCACTGCCACAATATACAAAAAGATACTGAGTTCATGTTTCCATTGCATTTATATCAAGAGTAATAATAATAATCATAGTTGAATAGAAATATTAGTTCAATTGTCCGTGTAGCTTAAAAGGAGCTCCAGTTTACACAACTTCCTTATGGGTTAAATCAGTGTAGGTGTTACAAAAGGTACCTCCATGAAATCACCCTTTGCTACTCAAGTAGACATGTCCTTTCTTTTGCTTGTGTACTTTTTCTGAGACGGGTTTCCTGGGTAGCCTAGGCTGACCTTGAACTGGTGATCCTCTGCCTTAGCCTCCTGAGGGCTGGGATTGCAGGCATGGGCCACTGCACCCAGGTTTGTGATGTACTTGACAGTGTCACATCTGCAAAATTATAAGCTACACCAAATGTTACACTTTCTTGTTCAAATATGCTCATAGAAAAAAGACAAAAAAGATCACCCATTGTTTCTAGTACCCAGCCTGAAGCACTATTGTCTAAATAGTCTTTGTGGAGGGCCTAGGATTTAGCTCAGTGGTTCCACCGCTTGCCTCACTAGCACAAGGTCCTGAGTTTGAGCCCCAGTACCCCTCACAAAAAAAGTCTTCATGTAGACAATTTGCCTAATTGTTTAATACTCACAAATTATATCCTAGCATTTTTGTGCTTTTAACAGTGTGCTTTACAAATATTTTAGTATCATTTAATGACAATGGATATATTGTAATTGATTGAACCAACATTTCATTGTTTACAGGTTTTGTTTTTGCCATTCTAAATAAAGTTTTAGTAACCATACCGAAGTAAAACTTTGTGTATTTTCTTTCTTTCTCCCTTCCTTCCTCTTTCCTTCTTTCCTTTCTTTCTTTCATTTTTTGACACAGTGCTGGGCCAGCCCATGTCCTCACACATGCTACACAAACATACTATTCCCAAGCCGCATCCTGAGCCTACCCCTGTATACTTCTATAGGATAAATTCTAAAAGGCTAATTTCTGTCGAAGGTGGTGAACGTTTTTTACAAACAGTTTTTAAAAGGAAAAGAGCTCTTAGAAGGCTGAAGCAGGATGATCATGATTCAAAACCAGCCTGGGCTACACAGCGAGATCCTA